TCAGACAGGTATTGGACTGGACTATGGGACATAAAGTGACAACTCTTGAGGAATGTGCCTCTTAGCTCACGTAGATAGAAGAGACTGAAGAGGCAGCTTCTGTCCAGAGGTGAGATGGGAAGGCAGAGGGGGTTAGGAGCTAGTTGAATGGACGTGGGGAATCGGGCAGAAAGGAGGAGTGTGCTGTCACAGAATGAGGTGAGCGATTAGGGTCACATAACAATGTCTGTATAAAATTTAGTATGGGAGACTAACTTGAAATGCAAACTTCATTTAAACTACAACAATTAAAAAAAAATCAGTTGGATTCCTTTACGCCAACAAAGAGAACCTCGAAGAGGAAATCACCAAATCAATACCATTTACAGTAGCCCCCAAGAAGATAAAATATTTAGGAATAAATCTAACCAGAGATGTAAAAGACCTGTACAATAAAAACTACAAGACACTACTGCAAAAAACCAAAAGAGACCGCATAAGTGGAAAAACATAGCTTGCTCATGGATAGATAGACTCAGCATTGTGAAAATGTCAGTTCTACCCAAAGCAGCATACAGATACAAGGCAATCCCGATCCAAATTCCACTGGCATTTTTTAATTAGATGAAGAAACAAATCACCAACTTCATAGGGAAAGGGAAGAGGCCCCTTATAAGTAAAGCGTTACTCAAGAGGAAGAACAAAGTGGGAGGCGTCACACGACCTGATTTTAGAACGTATTATACCGCCACAGTAGTCAGAACAGCCTGGTACTGGTACAACAACAGATACATAGATTAATGGAACGGAAGTGAGAATCCAGACACAAATTGGTCCACCTATGAGCAGCTGATATTTGACAAAGGCCCAAAGTCCGTTAATTGGGGAAAAGATGGTCTCTTTAACAAATGGTGCTGGCATGACTGGATATCCATCTGCAAAAAACTGAAACAAGACCATACTTCACACATTGTACAAAAACTAACTCAAAATGGATCAGAGACTTAAATATAAAATTGAAAATGGTAAAAAGATCTTGGAAGAAAAAATAGGGACAATGCTAGGAGCCCTAATACATGGCATAAACACAATATGAACCATAAGTAATAATGCACAAGCACCAGAAGAAAGACTAGATGACTGGGAGCTCCTAAAAATCAAACACTTATGCTCATCAAAACACTTCACCAAAAGAGTAAAAAGACGACCTACAGACTGGGAAAAAATTTTTGGCTACGACAAATCCGATCAGTGTCTTATCTCTAAAATCTACAAGATAACTGTAAAACCTCAACAACAAAAAGACAAATAACCCAATTAAAAAATGGGCAAAGGATATGTACAGGCACTTTGCCAAAAATATTCAGGCGGCTAACAGACACATGAAGAAATGCTCATGATCATTAGCTGTTAGGGAAACGCAGATCAAAACTACAATGAGATACCATCTCACCCCAACAAGGTTGGCATTAATTCAGAGAACAGAAAATAATAAATGCTGGAGTGGTTCTGGAGAGACTGGAACACTTATGCACTGTTGGTGGGAATGTAAAATGGTACAACCACTTTGGAAATCGATCTGGCGCTTCCTTAAAAAGCTAGAAATAGATGTACCGTCCAATCCATCTATCCCACTCCTTGAATATATCCTTGAGAAATAAGAGCCATCACATGAATAGATGTATGCACACCCATGTTCGTTGCAGCATTGTTCACAGTAGCAAAAAGACGGAAACAACCTAGGTGCCCATCGGCGGACAAGTGGATAAACCAGTTGTGGTATGTTCACACAATGGAATACTATGCAATGATAAAGAATATCGATGAAGCCGTGAAACATAACATGGAGGAATCTGGAGGTCATTATGCTGAGTGAATTTAGTCACAGAACAGCAAATACTATATAATACCATTGTTATAAGAAGTCAAGAAAAGGTTTAAACACAGAAGAAAACATTCTTTGATGGTTACGAGAGTGGGGAGGGAGGGTGAGGGTTATTTACTAACTAGATAGTAGATAAGAATTATCTTAGGTAAAGGGAAGGACAGCACACACTACAGGGGAAGTCAGCACAACTGGACTAAACCAAAGCTAAGAAGTTTCCTGAATACAATCAAATACTTTGAGAGACAGAATAGCAGGGGTAGGGGTCTGGGGACTGTGCTTTCAGGGGACATCTAGGTCAATTGGCATAACAAAGCTTATTAAGAAAATGTTGTACATCCTACTTTGGTGAGTGGCCTCTGGGGTCTTAAAAGCTTGCAAGCGGCCATCTAAGATGCATCAATTGGTCCCAGCCACCTGGAGCAAAGGAGTATGAAGAACACCAAAGACACAAG